TTTGGTAATGATAAGGACTTCGTAAAATACGTAGAGCATTATCAATTATTAGTTATACTACTGTCGGTCCTGATTATAAAACTTTGTTTATAGACTATAAATGAGGTCTTATAATTAGGATTGGAGGTAATACTTATTAATGATAAAAATGATAAATAACATATATCATGATTTACTAACAAACTGTCAGATAAGATAATAAGCAGTTTCGTCCCGTAAAGAGGAGAACATAAATTTGAATCCTGAGAGGGTTTTAACCTTAATGTTTTGACAAAAATTAATCTCAATCCTAAAATGATGGTACTTTGACTTATATCAAATATATATTGTGATTTATGCGTATCACATATGCTTTTTACATTATTAAGTGTTTTATATGTATATGTATGGAATTTTACACATGGATTCACAAAATCCAGCTATAGCACGTAAGTTTACATCAAGAGTATATATATAAGAGCATATGAACTTAGATAAAGATAATGTTAATTACCATAAGTCCCAAGATAAAGATATTTGTTGCCGAAAACTCTGCCAATGCGAGCTTCCCATCTTCCATTATGATGATGTCTGGCATCATTTTAAAACACAACCCCTAAAGTTAATTATCATTATTAAGACTATGGTAACAGTTTTTAACTGCTCTTCCCGTCTTAATATCTTTAAAGTATGGCCTAATAATTTAAGAGTTAATGTTGGTCTTAATTTTTTTTCAAATTAACTCCATTAATGTTACCTCAACAATAATTAAGTAGGAGAGGGAGGAAGAAAATTAAGAAATATGATTAGGATATTTTAGAAAAAATACTCCTCTGATCTTTAATATAGGACCCAATTGTTGAGTTGGTTTTGGTCCTAAATATAAGACTCATATATCATATTTATTAATTTTCTTTAAATTACTTTTATGTATACTCCCTCAACCATAATCAAGTAGAAGAGAAAGAAGGGGTATTAAAAAAGATGATTATGGTATTTTAGGAAAAACGTGTTACATTTCTTATAATTAACTAACTTACCTAACTTTCTTAATCTAATCAAATTAATTAAATGGGTCTTATATTAAAGACCGGGAGAGTATATTGTATCAACTAATTTAACAAACATCTTTAATTTACTTAATTAGCTAATTAAGTTTTTCATTACAGACCAGAAAAGTAATATATAACAGTTGTATATATATGATGGTGCCCTCCACTCCATACCTTGCCACGCCTCTGTATTTAGAAACTCCCCGAGAAAAACCGCTGCTTTTCCTGCAATTAATAATTTCCTTCTTGAATAAATTATCTCACTATACAATTAATATATAATTAAACCACCACACTTGTTTAATTAATATTTATATAAATTTGACAAAAAAGTTTTATTATTACCTTCTTAATGATCCAATATATTCTTCCCTTGACTGACCGTCCATTTCTTTCATTTTGTTGAGATAAGTCGATAACTGCAATATTGACAAACAAATAAACAAATTATAACTAACCGAATTTTTTTTTCTCAAATACTTTTTTCTGAATTAATTACTGATCGATATCGATCTTGTACACAAAGAACAAGAATTAAATTACAAACCGGAAAGTTTAGTATGGTATCTTGACCCCAATACTTCAACGCTGCTAGATCATAAGCATGTGCTGCAGCCTCTTCATCATCATAAGCACCTAAACACACCACATCGCATATATCTATAACGTTAACAACTTCTTAGGTAACTTAGTTATTCCTCAAGATACTCTTTTGGTTTTGTCGTGCTTACCCAGATACACTGAAGATTAATTAAATTTGAAGCATCCATCACCACCGCACCGCAATGCCATGCACATGACGCAAGGAATTAAAGATAACATATACCAGTGAAGTTATATATACAATAAAAATACCAGTACTCTTCTGATCTTAAATATAAGACTCACTTTCTCTTCTCTCATTACAAGTAATATACTCCTCCGGTCCCAAATATAAGACCCACTTTGAAGTGTAGTTCACACTATAAAGTGGGTCTTATATTTGGGATCGGAAGAGTATATATTACTTGTAATGAGAGAAGAGCACCTATCCTAAAAACTAGATTATTGAGCCAAAAAACTTTTAACGTTAGCTCTGAAAGTCAATCTTTTTGTTGGGCTGGCTTTGGGACGCTCTTAATGAGAGCACTTTTGCAGTGGCTATATCTGAAAGGATTAGTCTATGAGAAAAATACTTGAACTTATAAACTGCACTTAACTTGTATGATGATATTCTCAAGCAAAAGCTGTGTGTGCGTGTGAGAATGTACTGTACCTTGTCGTCCTTTCTTGTTCTGCGATTCATTCCAACAATTCTTGTCCCACAAATGAGCTTCATATCGTCCTGTCCATCTGTGTCTGTAAATACACAGATTCGTAACCAATCCATTTCACTTCATCATGTGTAAAGTGTAAAGAACTAAGTAATATATATATATATATATATATATATATATATATAGCTCTGTATGTATACCTAGTGACTCCTCTGTATTTTGAGCTACGTTGAAGAGGTGCATCTCTGGGAACACTTCGCCTGGTTCGTTTCTTGGGGGTGGTGGAAGCAGTCAGACTACTGTTATTAGTGGCCTTAGGGTTACTGTTCTTGTTTGCGTTACTCCTGTGTTTCCCCATGGAAGTTGCAGAGAATTAGCTATAAGAGAGAGCTAGGGGGGGGGGGATAATGAAATATAGATCGAAGATATATGTGACTTAAACCCAATGATGATGATGATTTTAAAGGGAGGGGGAAGAAGAATGAGGCTGGAAATGTTTGGGCTGGCAAAATTAATTGATAATAGCCGGCTAAAAATATGTCTGTTTTCTTCTGGCCGTCTATGAAGCGGCTAATTAATTAATGTATTTATTATTTTTATCTTCATGTTAAAAAAAAAACTAAAAGGTTGTATAATTTCTTCTTTATTTCGCCTGTTATCAGAATCTTGTGTGGTGTGGCTTTCAATCGGTTTGATGTATCTGTTATTCTCTTGTTCTTTTAGTTTCAATAATTCTTTCTCGTTTGTTTTTTACCTCTTTTACAATTGTTCTTTGTCCCTATTTTTGTCACTTTTTACCATTATTTTAATTAAGCATAAAAAATTGCCCTATTACCTTTAGTTTAATAATTAATTACAAAATTTCCTCCCCATTTTAGGAAGATATTAAGAAAATTTTTGAACATGGAACGTGACAACTTAGACTCGATGCCTTTTGTCATTTGTGCAAGTTTCATCAAATGTCAGAGATTGGATTTTGTGAATTAAGGGGAAAACATCATACTTGGAAAACTTCTCCAGATAATTATTCAGGAATTCTCAGAAGGTGAATGGTTCTTTTTGGGAAAAAAAACAGGGAGAAATGACATCTCTCGATAATATATTAATTAATTTGATTAAAAAACGGAGACAGATTATTTCAATAGAGAAGTATGATTGATCGTTTATATATCTACTTAATTTGGATTGAAAAATAACCCTTGCAAAACCCAAAAAAGAACGAGGTTGAGGAAAACTAATTAAGCGAAACAATTAAAACATTTTGTTAATGTAAAAAAGAAATTCATATATCTATTTGAAAAATAATAAAAGGAGATAAATCATGACTGAAAGAATATAAAATATGTGTATGTTATTACAAAAGAAATAGGATATAATGAGTTAACCAAATGCGTTCGTACTCTTTTCCGATTAGATGGGGACAAAATTAAAGGAATGGGATTAGGATGTACATGATAATTAAAGACGCAGTTGAAGTGCTTTAATTTAACCACGTTTAAAAATTAACATAGAAATTGGTTTTTATAGTTTGATTAATTATAAGTATTGATCCTCATACTAATAATTTTTCTTTTTTCGGTAACAACCTCCGGTTTCGGCAACCGACTAATTTGGATTGTTAATCTATAAGAGAAATTATGTTAATAGTTGTTGAATATATGACTTTTATATTTTGATTAATTTTGATACATATATCTAAATAAAATCATAATCAAACCATATTAGGTATTATATGGGTAAGAAAACAGTTATAAACATAATTTTTTAAAAGTTTTATGCCAATAATAAATAAATTTTATTTCATCATTTTATTTTTAAAAAGAATCTTTTATTTTTCTTTTAGCAACAATTTTACTTCATCATTCGATTTTTTTTTCTTCTAGAAACCAAAAAACCCAGTTAGTTATATTTTTAATATGAAATCAAATCTGAAACAAAAATAAAGGAACTGAGTTAACCGAATCATTTTGGTTTGATCTTTTTCTGGAAAGCTCATTAAATATGAAAATATTAAGTTGGACTTGGACAGAATCTGATCTTCTTTTTTTTTTCTTTTCTTTGCAAAAGTAATGATTAAAAAAATAATTTTTAAGGCAACAAATGTCTTATGAGTTTTCAAATAAAAATCAATAATAGAAGGAAATAATATGTATTAATTATAAAAATGTAATTTATATATGATTCATTTTAACTGCCTCATAATAAAACTATATTCCTTTAATTTTAATTTTTTAAGTGAAGCAAGGGCTTACTTATCCATCTAGTTATGATGCCCATGTATGCTCCACGCACCCTGCATGTAAGACTTTGGGCCTTTGGCTCCCCTCTGTTGCAAAATTTCTAGGGTAGAAGCTGATTTTTCCTCGCTTATCCTCTCCTGCAACTAGGGATGTTCAATTTGTCCCATCCCGGTCCCGGTAAATTCGAGACGAGACGAGACGGGACAAAAAAAATTTTCGGGACGGGACGGGACGGGGTTGTCCCGTCCCGTCCTGTCCCGGGATTTTTTTTCCTTTTAAAAATTATTTATTAATAATTATTATTAGATTATTCAATTTACTTATTAATAATAACTCTTATTTTTATGGTGATTTGTAGCTCTTAAGTTGTAGTATTATCTCAACAAAATCTCCTTCCTCAATAAAATAATTCATAAAGTCATTATATAGTGTTTTTTTTACGATATTTTTTTTACAGTATTATTTTTACACCTTTTTTATGCTATATAATTAAGCTTTCTACATAATATTTTTTTATAATATTTTTATCTTTAAAAGCCCAATAAAAAATAAGTATTATAACATAAAAAAATTCATATAAAAAATTATGGTATCTTTTTTTTTAAAAAAAAGGGGGAAGCGGGACGGGACGGGACACGGGACAAAATCCCTGTCCCGTCTCGTCCCATGAACACCCCTACCTGCAACCAAACAGGTTAAACCTTTTTTTAAAAAATAAAAAATAAAAACTGAATTTCATTACTAATAACAAACAAGAATGCAAAGTTACTCCTCTTGATCAAGATCCACCCCATGCAATATGAGTGGAGATTGATCAAAGATGCAAATTTTTTAATCTAATTTATGAAAAGCTTTCGCTAATTAATCAGTTAAAGTAGGTTTTTTCTGAAACAATGCTTGACTAGAATATCCTAATCTAGATTAAAAATGAATCTAGTATCTTGTAGAGTGTCTTGCAACTCTTTGAAAGCCCAGAACAGGTCCATATATAATTTCCCACAATTTTTTCAAAAAAATATTTATATACATTCTTGAAAGTTGAGCCACATGACTATTCTGACTAATATTAGAAATTTAAATCGCATAGAAGGTCAAAAAAAAGTTTAAACTGTATAGGAAAATCAGAGCTCAAGATCTTAAGAATGGATTTTTAATTATTTCAAGTTAAGAGCTTAAATTTTAAATTGAAAATTTTTCCCTAAAAATTGAAAAATGTGTCATGGGGACGCTTATAGGGATAAAAAACTAATGGGATTTACGTGCAAGAATTATTTGCTTATAAAAATTGCTAACTCGCCAAAACTAATAAGTTATCCGTATAAGCCACAGTTCCAAGCTTGATCCCCCTTAACCCAAGCCAATATTTAACTTAAAATTAACTTTATCGCTTGCCTGAAGGCTGGTTTAAGCCAATGAACTCGTTTGCTGTTGTTGTTGTTTTTTTTTTAATTAATGAAAGGTTAAAATTCGCGTCAATTTTAAATAATTTTGAACTTTTTATTTTTTTCTGAGATCCACATAGTTAAAATCCTAATATACAACTTTCCAAATCTTTTTCTTCCAAAAAAAAAAAACAGGGATTTCAGGCTATTTCAACATGCCATACGAACTGCAAGGACTTATCTTCCTTTTTTTATATTTAATATTACATTTTAATTAAAATACATGAAAATACATATTTTTCACTTTTTAACAGGATAATGCTTATTAATAATTATATATTCCTCATGTCTATAATATAAGAGCTATTTAAAAAATTTAGTTTTTGATTCTAAATATAAGATATTAACCTATTCTATCTTTCATATTTATTACTCCTCCGATCCTTAATATAAGACCTATTTAACTAATTTGATTAGATTAAGGAAGTTAGGTAAGTTAGTTAATTATAAAAAATGTGATACGTTTTTCTTAAAATACCATAATCATCTTTCTTAATATCCCCTATCCTTCTTCTACTTAATTATGGTCGAGGAAGTATCTATAAAGGTAATTTAGAGAAAATTAATAAATATGAGAAATGAGTCTTATATTTATGATCAAAACCAACTCAACAATTGGATCCTATATTAAGGATCGGAGGAGTATTTCTTAAACTAATGTATTTAACTTATAAACTAATAAATAATCTAATATTATACTGCCTCAACTCTTAATTACAAAATATCATTCGTAATCTATAAATAGATTTTATAATACAAATGGGAGGTACTACCTCCAGTTCTAATTATAAAAGCCAGTTGACTAATTTAAAGAGATTAAGACAGTAAATTGAGTTAGTTATTTGTTCTAAATAGGTGTTGTCTTTCCTAAAATATCTTTGTTAATCAAGTGTATTAGCTAAAACTATCATTATTAGAAGGACTACTTTAGAAAAAAATGTATAAATATGAGAGACAAAATAGATTGAAATCTTATATTTATGATTAAAATAAAAGTCAAATAAGATCTTATATTAAGAATCGGAACTAGTAGTATATAAATATTTTAGGAGATTATGTCCGCTTTATTCAAAATAAAGCTCTAAACGACAATCTCTTGACAAAAATACACGATACATTGACACACGTCGTTCCAATCTTCAACAATTCATCCAATTCTTAAGGCAGAATAATTAAACGAAAAGCAAAAGCTTTTCACGTCACTTCGTCGTTGTTAACGAGTTTCGCTGAAGTCTGAACACACTATAAATGGAGACCCCGGGCAACTTCAGAAGCTCCCAAGTCTTGACCAGTAGCGGATCACAAAAAGGAAGCGAAACAGAAGTATGGAAACAAAAGTGAAGAGCGCGAAGAGCTTCGAACGCCGATTGGTCAAGTTCCATGAATTGCCGGAGTACTTGCAAGACAACGAGTTCATTCTTGACTATTACCGATCCGAATGGCCTCTGAAGCACATTTTGTGGAGCGTCTTCTCGTGGCACAACGAGACCCTCAACATTTGGACGTACGTCACCTCTTCTTCTTCTTCTTCTTCTTCGATCTCATTCGCCATTTCCGCGAACACTATTGCAGTGAGAATTAGTAAAAATTGTGTATCAATACAATACGGCGCCGTTTGATGTGAACGAAGTTGGATCGATGCGGTTGTTTATGCAGGCACTTAATAGGATTTCAGATATTCGTCGCATTGACGGTGATGAGCTCGACGGAGACTGCGCAGATCGGGCTCCTTGGTTGGGTCTCGAAGTTCTTCTGCTCCAGGTATTGTTGTTGCGTAGGACCTCTCCTTCATTTTGTTATTTGTCTATGGCTGTTTTTGGGGTATGATGAATTATTCAGGCAATTAACATCTCATTTTGGCGGCTTTTGGTGGCGGAACAGAGCTCTGGCGGTGGGTTTATCGACGCCGACGAACGAGAGTAGCTGCTTAGATAGCTACTTATTTCTGGTTAGTTAAAACTGTTATTTTATTGTTGTGAAATTTGCAAGTTACAATTTGGTGAGCGCGCGTAATTAGGGAAGGCGCGAATCGCACATTACTATGTGAAAAGAAAAATACATTTTTTTTGAGCGAAAAAAATTCAATAAATAAAAGATGCCGCTCATTTTTAATCTATAATAAATATATCCATAACAAGTACTTAAATAATGATAAGCATTATATAAATTGAAGTTTCATATTCTCAATGATATTTATTTTCGTTCCTATTTTGAAATGATACATATCCGATTCCGAATGCGAGACAAAAGAAGATGGGGATTACTTCCATACAAGGGATGCAGGATGGCGCGCGTAAATGGAAGAATGTTGAAATTTATCAACTATCACTGATTTCTGAGAAAAATTTGAATCAATTTTCGATAGAATTATTAATAATAAGATTTTCTTTAAGAAATAGCATTCATTTATGAAGGAAAAATCAGATTCCTTTTTATAAAAATGTCTTGGGTAGAATATTAAAACCATTGGCAAAAAAAGGGCCAATGTAGCTCACGAGGGGCTAAATGGGTGAAAAATGTTGCGGCGTATTTGAATTTGAAGTAATTAAATATAATGAGGGGGGAAAGATCTAAACGCACATCACACAAAGTCGTTTTAACTTTTAATTAATGATTCCGAACATCCAAGAAATTCTCAATCTCTTGGGATGTTATAGTCACTTAATCAGTCCACACGTATTTGATATGATATCTAACTGTCGGAATCATAATATTGGCTCATATCATAAATACAACTCATATGAAGGCATATATATGAATCAATATCCTGGTATCTATCTCTCTCTCTCTCTACCAGAAATCAATATTCTAGTATCATTCAAGGCATGGTAATTATTTTTATGCCATACAATAGGTGGATCACGGAATTGTACGATATTGTCTATTCAATTCGCTTGGTACACATGTTGGCCAAAATTGCTTGGTACACGTATTCTTTTTTCATTACTTCTAAGCATTTGCTTCTCTCACGTTTGCTAACAGCACAAATCTTCTAGTAAATATTGCTTTCTTCTCATAGTAAAATTTTCGAATTATGATCTTTTTATCCAGCTCATATACATATACATATATTAATTCTTTTTTTGATACACATATACATTAATTTTTATTCAATATATATTGCTCCCATAGCCCAAAAAAGAAAAGGAATCTGGATCCGCCCGTGGCTGACCTGAATTTTTCTTCACTTGGACACGTGAATTATTAATCAAACAAAGTTGCAATGATTTGTTTATTTGTTCCTTCTAGGAACCCCATCTAAGACACGTTTTGGAGGCATCAGAAAATGGTGCAGAACAAATTCCGAGATGGCCATGGTTTGTTTTCTTAGGCGGAGCAATGACATGCTTAATCTGCAGTTCTCTCTCCCACCTCTTTGCTTGCCACTCCAAACGCTTCAACCTCTTCTTCTGGCGTCTGGACTACGCCGGAATCTCCCTTATGATAGTCTCCTCCTTCTACGCCCCCATTTACTACTCTTTCTTCTGCAACCCCACCACAAGGTTCTTCTATCTAACCTCAATCTCTCTACTTGGAGCCCTCACCATCATTGCCCTTCTCTCCCCTGCTTTCTCTGCTCCTCACTTTAGGTCCTTAAGGACCTCCTTGTTCATCACCATGGCCTTCTTAGGCGTTGTTCCGGCCACTCACGCCGCCATTCTCCACTGGGGCAACCCTCGTATATTTGTTGCCATTTTGTATGAACTTGCTATGGCTTTTCTTTACCTCACAGGTGCTGCCTTTTATATCAGCAGAATGCCAGAGCGTTGGAAGCCTGGAGCATTTGATATTGCAGGCCACAGTCATCAGATTTTTCATGTCTTTGTTGTCCTTGGAGCACTGGCACATAGTGTTGCTACGTTACTAATCTTGGATTCTTTAAGGTTATCACCAACCTGTGCAGCTTAGCTCAGTTCACTGGTATACAAGAGGTTGTGACACTCTGTATATAGTAATTAGATACTCTGTATATAGTTTGTCTGTTGTATATATTTGTATCGCATGATGTCCTGTATCTGTATTTCTTAGGTTGGCAATCTATTCTTATTGAATTAAGAGCAGCTGCCAATTCTTATTGTACATGGGTACTTTTAGAAGCATATGAATATGATTTATTCTGTGGCTCATTCATTATTTACAATAAATAAGGAATGTTAAATCTTCACCACTTACTGATTTGTCTGATTTGCCACTGAAATTACACACACACACACTCTTCTGACAACTCTTTGGTTTGCTAAGTTGTATTCTTTTATGATAGGAAGTAGAGGAATGGGACATTTGTTTTTGTGTTGTAACTTGTACGTACCATACTGACTCTCCATGTATATCAAAATAGCAAAGTTCATAATAACTTTCTCTTAATTTGCAGATAACAAATAATTAAAGCCATGAAAAATTATGCCCAATCACTAAACCAGACATCATCACTTGATTCTCGCTAATTCCACCTTTAATACATTCCAGCGGATAAATAAAAAAAGAAATCAAAGAGCAGTTAAAAGGAGTAACATAGATGATTTACAACTAAATTAATCACATGAAACAGAAAGCCTCACGCATTTGGTTCTTCAGGGATAGAAAGGATGAGAAAGACACACAAAGGAACCACAACAAAAGCTGCGATCTTGAGCAATTCTTCAGTCTGTGGGGTAATCACTCCAATCCTCGACCAATCTCCGCTGTACCTGAAACGACAGCATGTGAAGCATACGAGTGAGTGGAAATTTAGAAACTTTGAGCTCAAATCACAGGAAGCTAAGCAAGTAACCCGACCCGGCATCTACGAATCCTAATCCAAATACAGCAATGGCTGAGCGAGAAAGAATGGATTTTGAAAGTCTCAGTGGGAATAAGGGTTTTTGTTGGGTCGTGGGTTTCTCTTGTAAATCCTTCTTTTTGGCGAAAATTTCTCCGAATTTTCTACCATTTTTGTCTACAGGTGGATAAGGAGCGAAGCTGATGAAGATAGCGCTACTTCCTGTCATCAGCATTTCCTTCACTGTTCCACTTACTGCTCAATTCCTATTTATAAGTTCAGGTGATAGAAAATTTTTTTGGTACAAATATATAATTTTACACCTTATTTATTATTATATTGATTTTATTTATATAAAGTATAATATATATTAAATATTAAATTTAAAACTAGAATTAATAAAATTTAAGATTTTTCTTGTGTAAAATATGTTGAAAATGCCTTATAAATAAGACTAGAAGAATATTCCATAATTATTTTAATATAATAATTCAGATCAATAGGCTCTTAAATTAAATAAATAAATAAATTTAGCTGCATTGCCCCAAAAAAATTAATTAATTTTTACAATTTATTCTTATTTTTTACAAATTAAAAATTAACAATTAGTTATCTATTTTTTTTTGGAAAAAAAATAACAAGACCATGTGTAGAAATTAGAATGTTGATAACAACTAGCAAGTGTCTTCAGCTATATACAATAAATTCTCCATAATTTCCTTACAGCATTTTTTTTCCCCAACAACATACTCGTAGCATTTTAAAAAAAAAATATTAAAGAAGTGACAATGCTGCGAGTGCATCAGAGACCGCGCAGACGCAATGACTTCAGTTCTAGCAGCTAGGCCTATTGCTCGGCCCTTATCCACAGAGGCACAGACGTTGCTGGAAGAAAGAATTTCCTGTGAGCCATGGCGTGTGTGGCTGCGACGCTGTCGTTTAGCTTCACCAGGTGTCTTAGCTTGACCTCTTCTCCGACTCGTGTTTCTCATGGTTCAGTTCAATTCGCTCCAATGAACAAGAGGAAGTCGCTGAAATTTTCTTCTTCTAGTAGCATTTCTGGGGTTGCCTCACTTCTTCCACAGCAGCTCTGCAAGCTCTTGCCTCAACCTCGGAGGCCTCGGACTCTCACAGTCACATCTGCTAAAGGCTACAAAATGAAAACTCACAAGGTCTTTTCCTCCTCCTCATCATTCTTGCTTTCATTTGTGATTTGGGGGGTTTCACATTGTCTATTTCAATTCGCGATTTTTCTGTGAATTGTTCGTAAATTGGATTGGATGAAATGACTCTTCTATTGGGGGGCGATTCTTTATATTTTTATGTTTCGTTTCTGGCGTAATTGCCAATTGCATTCGTGTCAATTTTGAATTTTCATGAATTTCGCTTGTAGGCATCAGCAAAGCGATTCAGGGTGACAGGTCGAGGGAAAATAGTGCGTAGGAGAGCTGGAAAGCAGCATCTGCTGGCCAAGAAGAACACAAAGAGAAAATTACGGCTCTCAAAAATGGTGAGTTTAGTTTGAACATTGTCTATTCATGGCTTTCCAGGCACAACATACTTCGAATTCATTGATTTATTTGAATGTTTTTTATGCTTCTGTGGACAAGTACGTGTTTTTCTTACCTGATTATTTATAATGACAAAGATTATCGAAGCGGAATGCTTCTTTAACTAATCGTCATTTCATCTCAACTTCATGGTCTTGTTGTTTCCTTTAACTGGGGATTTTAGAGTTCAGTTGAGTTACGTTGAAAATAATTTAAGTTGGGAAAACAATTTCCTATATGCTAGAATTGTACTAAAGATGACCAACTATAGCCTTTAGCTTTCTTGGTCGAATAGCTTTGAAGATACAGAGTTCAGCTCGGTATGTCGACTATATGTCATTCACTGTTTGACTAGTTGTGGTTTACCTCCGTAAACCTGATAGATTTTCTTCTGACCAGTTGCTATCCACTTGCAATTTGATGTTTAAAAGGTTAGTCTACCCCTTGTTACCACAAAGTATGAACTAGGTGACTCTAAAAGTTTTGACTTTATGATCGGCTGTGGTAAGATGACTGATAGAATACTTTTTGAGCTTTTGGATATGCAGGCATCTTGGTTATCCATGGTGATGTTTTGCTGGTGGTATAAGACTAAGATCTGTTTCAAGAACTTTTTTCATGCTCTTTGGATCCCAACAATTAGATCACCTTGTACTTTATGACTAAATATATCGTTAGCATTTTTGCTTTGGTTTGGAATTGGTTTCTTGTTGAGAGTTCCTTTCATTGTGAGATTAAAATAACGAGGGCAGCCCTTAGGGCTTAGAAAGAAAAAATTACGAGGGCTAGTTTCTCTGTCATTCCTTCTTCTCCCTTTTTGACTTTACATGAGGGATGAATGAAGGGAATATGATATAAAGTTCTATACTAGGATTTTTAGTTTTGGTAGAAGGAATCTTCTATTGTATCCTATGTGTTTCCTTTCTTGTCTAAATATTAAAGATTCAACTAATAACATGACAGAGGTTAGTAGTAGGTGACTACTTACGTCACTATCATGGCTCTCAAATTGGTTGCTCTGTGTCAAAATAATCTTTGGGCTTCGGAGTGCCATCCATGATTCCTGTCGAAGTGGTTAGAACTTAAAAGTGTAATCCTTTTCGCCCTCATTCTATTATTGAAAATAAAGTTTCAACACGGATATTGTATGTGCTGTGTTCAGACTTAAAGCCCAATGGGACTTTTTTATGTGTGTCTTGGAGATTTAACAAAACCATCCATGAACCTTCACTTTACAGTTTATCCTCATAAATCAGAGGCAATTTTTTAGGCAATTTCAATTCAAATGATTGCTTAAGACTTGGACTAGTTATTTATACTGGAGATTTTTCCTCTGTGGAATTTTCTATCTTGATTCTCAATCACTTTCTCTGGTCTAACTCTGTTTTTGGGTCATTCACAGCATCCGGTCAGCAGGAGTGACTATGACAATGTGATTGGAGCCTTGCCTTATCTTAAAGTGAATAGAAAGGCTGCATAAGAGCTTATGTTTGTTTGTTGTAACTTCTTCTTCTCCTTGCGAATTGCTTTCTATTTTTTCCCCAAAAAGAGTGATGTAAGCTTGGGATGAAATGGATTCAGCATTAGTCCAAATCTTGTAACAAGCGCTTTTAGCAACTTTAATAGTGTTTGAGACTGCTCTTTGGCTGATTATTCATTTGCTAATTCATATTTAAGATCCCAGTTCCTGGCAGTAATTTTTGGAATTCAAGAATTTAAATTGCAATTTTATATTTTTCTGGGTCTTTGTTTGCAATTTTTTCTTAATGTCATTGTTGGTCCTTACACTTTGTCTTTGTTTTGATTTTAGTACATAGAGTTTGAGTTTAGGTCAGCGTTTTACTCCGTTTATAACCGTTAGTCCTTATAGTTTGAAAAGGATTTGGAATTAGTATTGACATTGTTAAGTTCGCCTGCGTGTTACTACCACAGTTTAAATTGTTGATGTTGACTACTGACTGGGCAAGCTCATTTGCTGACCTAGATATGCGACTTCTATAAAACAAAAACAAAAAAGAAAAGAAAAAGAAGCCAAAATGCCTTAATGCTGTCGTCATCTTCTTCGTTGGGGACGGCACCATCATCTTCAGTGTCTGTGTTAGCGCCGATTTCGTCAAGCTCCTCTAGCTCCCCAAGAAGATGATGTCGTCCCTTGCTCACTGAAGAGTATGATGAACAGCTTCCCCTGGTCCTTTGCTGCATCTTGCATTTAAGCTCTGATGAAGATAATTCCACAGTGTCTCTCTTCTCTCTCTAAACCAGTCGACGATGTCCACTTCAGGAGGAAGATGATGAACAACAGGCTCTATCATGGGCATATTCAAGATATGTATATTGCTTCCGTTATTGCTTCCTTTTATAATTTTTGGTGGTATTAACTCGGGTTTCCGTGACATCAAACTGTATTTCTTCTTGTCTTTTTTTTTTTTTTTTGATTACATCAAACTGTGTTTCTGGGTAATATATGTTGTGTGGGCCACTTGTCGCAAAAGTTCTGCATCAAAGTTTTCATGATGAACACATCAACTCGAGCTGGTGCCTTCATTTACTCTTGCTGTGTGTAGATTTGTGCATGTGTTTTGGGGCTCTTAGAGCAATATGCATTTTCTGATTCGAAATCAACAAATTCTCCAACATGAGGTTGATTTCAAGCAAGTTGACAGCGAGAGGGACTGGTAAAGAATAATAAATTTTAATTTTAATTAACCAAATATCATGGAAGTTGGGTTTCATATGGACATATTGGAGAGGAGTTAAGTTTTTTTCATTTTTTCTTTCAGCAGGGATAATTTCTTGATATAATCCTTCAACCATTAGTTACTTCTATGATCTTCTATATGTTTCCATTTCTTAAAAACGTTCCTGTTTGGAAAATGAAAGGTTTAATTTTTCTCATGGCTCTTTATGTGGGAATCTTAGAGCTACTCCCTAACCGCAACATCCTCTTGTCCCGTCAGCGTCTCTTGTTCAGGGTGATGAACAGTAGCTGCTTCAAGTCATCCTCTCCTCCTCACCAAGACAAATGAACAGTGACTGAAGAGAAGCATCCAGTTGGTCGGAATCCACTTATCGATTTCTCAAATTGTGTTAAAGCTGGCAATGACTCCACTGTTCCTCTGCTTCAACCTTCATCGCCTAGAGCTGTGACGGCGTGTAGAGAGGAGGACGGCCACCGTCTTCTTCAGGCTAGCTACCACAGTGTTTTGGCTTTGATTCTTTTAATAAAAAATCACATATCCAGGTCATCCTTGCCCTGCCAACAGTTGACATCATTAATAACGTTGTTAGTGACCCTTGGGCAAACTTAACACCGGCAATTCCAGCTCCTGGTCCTTTTGAAACTATAAGGACTAATGATTATTAACAGAATAAATTTGAAGGACCAATACTGATTTTAAATTTCAGGAACTAAAACAAAAAAAAAAAAGTGTAAGAACCAATAATGATATTAATCCTAAAAAATTTATTAAAACATGTTACATCATTCTTGACAAAGCGTGAGTTATTATTATAAATTTTGTCTTTATATTGATTAGAAAAATATCCAAATCTTTAATAAATCATCTTTATTTCTAAACAATTCCTATTGAATTTCTATCGTGACGTGCCCCAGAATTAATTAAAACTATTTGAAGTCCCAATCAACAGCAGCTGTTCCTATGCTACAAAAGCTAAAACCCCCATTGAAAACGTGCCAAAAATATTACAAGATTTTTTTTATTTACTTTATTCATGAGACTAAGCAACGTTTAAATCATCATCCATGCATAATTTTACCTCCTGTTCTTGACATAAAAATTAGTTGATCAATTTAAATAGATTAAAAAAATTAGTTAAGTCAGTTATTTGTAATAAATAAATATTATTTTCTCTAAAATATCTGTTAATCAAGTGTCATTTGATGAAACATTTAATATATATAATTATTACAAGAACTATTAAAAAATAAATAAATATGAGAAATACTACCTCCGGTCCTTGATCTAAGACTTTATTTGATTTTTATTTTGGTCATAAATATAAGATCCCAATTCATTTTGTCTCTCATATTTACATGTTTTTTCCCAAACTAGTTCTTTTAATAATGGTAGTTCTAACTAATACACTTGATTAGTAAGGATATTTTAAGAAAGATAATATCTATTTATTACAAATAACTAACTCAACTTATTTTTTTAATCTTCTCAAATTAGTCAACTAGCTCTTATAATTAGGACTGAATGTACGAAAATATATTGAAGTTTTATATTTAGAATTAAATTGAAAGTCAAACTAACTCTTATATTAAGAATAGGAGGAAGTATAACATTTACCAAAAACTATACTAATTAACTACTAATTACTAATCATTGTCAGCATCGACTATTGTCACAACAATTTCTTGAGCTCACCTGCATATGCATAATATTTTTTTTCCTGAAACAAAGTTTAGACAATCAAGAAATTCAATGTCAGTGATCTCATCTGTATTGACGCGGAAATAATATTTGGTTTGTTTAACGTCAATATCATGAATGAGTTATACGTTAATGAGTTTTAAGTGGCGGATTATTTAATCATTTTTGGCGTTTTGTTAGTTGTGATTGTGACAAAAAGAGGACGTTGATGGTTTCGGCGTTATACATGTTAGCCCGGAAAATATATATACATATATATATTTATATTTATATAGGTTAATGTTCAAATTCACCTAACTTAGATGAAACTTCTTTGTTGGCCACAGCTGGGATGACCCTAACACTTCGGATATTTTACACTAAAAACTTGAATTTAAAACCATTTGTTAAATTATTTGTGTTGTTTACATCATCCAGTGACTCGTCACTTGTATATTTTTGAGTCATGGAATCGATAGTATGTTATAAAATAAAAGGAAAAAAATAATCGGTAAGTGTTTATAATTTATGTGGTTAAAGAATGCATTGATCCTTTAAATTCATATCAGATTTTAATTTAATCCTTCAATATAATTTTTATTTTAAAATATGATTTAAAATTGACGTAAACTATAAGAATTTGAAGATTACTTCTTTTAAAAAATAAACATAAAAATAAAAAATTATGTCCCCAACAATTATAAATTGGCTGCATTTTTTAATATTACATGGCTAGCATCTAGCATAAAATTTATATTATTTAAAATTTGATTTAAATTTTTGAAATTTAAAATCTTTAATTTTCAATTCTTTTAATAATGAATTTATTTTTTTTAAAGAAGTGTCAGTTATAAAATTATATTTCTTTTAAATTTTGTATCTATCAAAATCAACAAATTATTTATCATATAAAAAAAATTTAAACTAAATTCAAACCATATAAAATCAATTTAAATGATTTAAATTCAGAGAAGCACTACTTGTTTATATTTTTTATGAGTATGAAGTGTGCTGTAGTTGCTACACCCACATAAGGCAACATTTTAACAAGGGTGAAACTTGGGGAATGTAATGTTATATTAATACATGAATTATGAAAAATAAGTTATATTATTTATGACTTATAAACCATATAACTAAACACCATAGTAACTAAAATGACCTGATATATCTGATAATAAAATGTTTTACTATTTAAATTATTCTCATTCATGCATGCAAACTCTTCATTATATTTTTGTTCATGTTCAATTAACATGACAAAATAATCAACTAATCATTTGTTCTTACAATATTCATTTCCTTGGCCGGCTGTTAATAACTTAATACCAGATTTTTGCTATATAAAATTTATCCCTTAAATAATACCAATTCAATTTTTTTTTAAGGGAAAACCATATCATAGGTACCTCTACTTTCTCTCAATTTTTAATTTGGTACCTATGTGTTTTTTTCACTTGATTAAACATTTAATTTTATTTTGTTTAGCAACATTAGCTCTTATAACTTTGTTCTATTGGCATTTTTAGTCTCTATATAAGGATTAATAATATTAATTGAGCAAAATTAAAGATTTAGTTGAGAATAAAAAAACATAGGTACCAAATTAAAAATTTATAAAAAATATAGGTACCTCCAATATGGTTTTTTTTTTTTTTAATTAAGAAAATGCTCTTTTTATTTTTGGCCGTCAAATTGATAGTGCCAGACAAGACCAAACACCGCCCCCGCCGTCATTTAAAGCGAAACATGGGACCCACGTGTGTCCGTCAAATCACACGTCCCGACAAAGCACGCCGAAATGTGACAAAAATGACCGAGTTAAGTTTATAAACGCAAGATTGAATTTAAATACGTGGCATATTTTTATTGGTGGGAGTATGAATAACATCGGGTACTTGAAGTAGGCAAGAATTTCCCCGCGTACCCGCGGTTAATCATCAAATTTTATATTGCCAAAGCAACCTCCTCCTCCTTTAATATTTTAGGGTTTTTGGAATCTCCGGTCTTTTCCATCACAGCTCCTAATTACCCAATTCCTGCTCCGAATCTTCGGCTAGTTGAAATCCTCGCATTTCTTCCCTGCTCTTTGGTTGTTTGTTGCAAATATTGATGGTTCAGCAGATGAAATCCGGGAATCTGCTTTCAGACCTGGAAACGGCGCCGTGCCGCGACAAGATACCGGTGAAGTTGGAGATCGAGGACCCCCTGGAAGAAGAGCATGGATCCTTATGCAAGCGCCTGAAACCTTCATCTGATCAATTAGAGGTATGGAATTAGTTTATTTTAATCTCGTTTAAGTTTTTTATTCCTGGCACATTTTTAATGGTTTTATTTTAATTCAGTTCAATTTCAGGTTTTGTTTGCACATTTTTAATTTGGGTTTTTTTTATTGCTGGAAATGATCTGAAATTGTAATCAACATCGGAAGATCGTCTGTATGGTTTCCTCTACTTGTTGTACAGCATGGGATAGTTAAATTTCTCTTCTGTTTGTGAGAGTGGAAGAACGGGGACTTAAGCTGTTCGCGTTATAATACCCTTACTATTTTTTTCCCTTATTGCCAACTAATTCATGTTGTAGAGTCTGTTAAAGAGTCAGGTTCATTTTTTTCACCTTGAAAATAAAAATCTTAACTCGTTTCCTTGACGGTTGTTTTGCTTTGTAATTGCCGGTATCACGGAAGAAAATCTCCGATTGTTCACCTCTTATTCAGTTCATAGGCATTTTTTCCCGGCATCCTATTGTCAGCTACTCACAAAAGTCGTCCTATTTGGTATTGGCACGAGTCAGTATTGAATATCGTTCCCCAATTTTTTTTTTTCGTTTTCGTTTTTTTTTGGGGGGGGGGGTGTGGTGGTGTGGGGTGGGGAATTGGAAAGTCCTAATTGTACTTCGTAATTATGATGGCAAGATTTATACTGCCTCCGACCCTTTGAAGGTCTCTATTTTCCAGAACACGCGAACCAAGGAAATACTGAAATCTAAATTATGTGTAAAAATTTGGTTTTTATTAATTCCATTCCTACCCTCAATTAAATGCCGCATTGGAAAGTCTACCTCTTCAAACGTCCAAGAGTGGAATGTCTGCTATAAAGAATATTTTTGTGAATGCTTTAATTAGACCTGGAAATTTGTATTGAGACTTATATTCAGGGACAAAACAAATCTGAAAATTGAGACCTATAATAAGGATTGGAGGAAGTGTATTTCTTGTAGATATCTAGATAGCAGTATATGGCATGACTTTTTAGGCATGTTGTCACCTTTTGGTCTTGGCTGTATAAGTTATTTCACTAGTTACTTTTTATGGCACATTGCATGGAGTTTGAAAAATGAAAGTGGTAAATGTTGCTTACTAGTAGTATTAATCTTATATTACATGTTGATAATATATTTAATAGTATGGATATGCGAGTTTTGGTGGTAAAGATGTTGCCATTAGACTTAGAGGTCATTGTAAACTGCATATCTATATGGCTATGATATGAGAATATGCACTTTGATTACAAGCACAATTTGAGATCTGTGTTATTTTTAGGTCTTCAATCTATAGGATGTAAATTTCATATGCTTATTTGAAACTTCTTTTCATTTTATGCATGATCTCTCCAACTGGTTAGCAATTGAGTGCTTCAACAAGTACATCTATCAGCCCTCCTTCCCAGCTCAATATTCTCAATGAGCCTTGCCCTTTGGGTTTGCGGCTGCGGAAGAGCCCTTCACTGTTAGATTTAATCCAGATGAAGCTCTCTCAAGGAGGTAATCCTATTGCAGATACACAAAGTGAAACTGCAAGCTCTGGAGTGAAAAATGAGAGTGGAGGTGTTGCTGCATCTAGCACTGCTGACAAGCTTAAGGCTTCAAATTTTCCAGCTTCACTTTTAAGAATTGGTTCTTGGGAGGTATGTTCAAGACACCAAATGTCAGTCTTGTATTTGGACAATCTACTTTTCCCGTTAATTTGGCCTGGCTGAAAATTCATCTGTTGCAGTATAAATCAAGATATGAGGGTGACTTAGTGGCAAAGTGTTACTTTGCTAAACATAAGCTTGTTTGGGAAGTCCTTGAAGGTGGGCTTAAGAGCAAAGTAGAAATCCAGTGGTCAGATATCATGGCACTTAAGGCAAATTGTACTGACAATGGACCTAGCACATTGACTGTTGTGGTAATTTATAGCTTGCTGCTTGTTGTATAGATACGAAGACTTATGTTGGGTAATTTTTCGGTGAGTTATTGGTCCGTTTGTGTGTTGCAGCTTGCTAGACAACCTCTTTTCTTCAGAGAGACTAATCCTCAGCCTAGAAAGCATACGCTCTGGCAGGCGACGTCTGATTTTACTGATGGGCAGGCTAGCAAGCACAGGTATATTATGTCTTCACTGCTATCCTCTAATATATAGATATGGGGTTTCTCTGTAATGTTTTGGTTTTAACCGGACAACCATGAAGGATATTTAAGTTTGGTAGGAAACATGGCATTGTATTGACATTCTAAAATAATAGCACTTATTATGGTTGGGAATTCTGAGAATGCTGTCCTGTCATGTATAGAAGAGAATGCCAGGTGCAATATGGTATTAGCATTTTTTCAAACGGTTCTTTCTGCTATCTGAAGCGATGGCAGAAGGATATATACTTCTTAAAGCAATTTTAATAAGTATTGATTTTTATTTTAAGGCGTATTTTATTACATATAGTAATTTAAGTTTGCCCAGGGAGTGTATTTTTCATTAAGGTCCTTGCTTTCCTTCATTTCTCAAGGTTATAATGTTTACAAACTTAATCTTGTGGCATTTTTAGGCAGCATTTTTTGCAATGCTCCCCGGGGATGTTGACCAAGCATTTTGAAAAGCTTATTCAGTGTGATATGCGTCTTAATTTCCTAAGCCGGCAGCCAGAGATAATTCTAGATTCACCCCATTTTGATTCATGGCCTTCTGCTTTAGAGGATCCCTGCAATCCCAAAGATCTCGATCAAGGATCTGCTACATCTTGTTTTCAGCACAGAGGATCACCTTATGCCTCCCAATCATCGTTTAAGATTGAACATGATGATTGTCCCGGCTTGACATTGGCTCATCAACCGCAAGAAGCACCTTCCTCCAGTTCAGGTACTAATAGAATTTGGCTTAAAATCCCCTCCAGGGGGTTAAATTAAAACCAAGCACCCCCCCCACCCCAAACAACAACCGAAAAAAAAAAAAAAAAAAAAACCCCGTGCCTTCGGACTGAGAAAGGAAGACATAAAAAGGACAGCCACACCATAACATCATATCGATTGGCACTAGTATGCTGTTGTAGTTTTTCATGCTAAGAACACGAAAGAAATGCCATATTCTTTACAGGAAAACATTTGTTACCAATGCAATTTCAGATGTATTGGTAGCTCTACATGGTCTGACTTGGCAAAAGATTTTCCATATCTGTATCACTCTTGTATGCTAGTGCCTAGTGGATATGTCGTGGATTTCAATGGACATTATGTCTACATGCGTGGCTGCACAGTGAACTAAAACTGACTAACCTGTTGACTCATTTCAGTAGCTTTTTACTGATCCGTTTTTGTAGGAGGCCCTCGTATATCTAAAGCTGGCACTTGTCTGTCTTCATGCATGTTTGTGTTTTTTTTTTAATATAATTTCTGTCTTTTCCATATTAAGTGATGAACTTTTGTGCAATTGAAGGGAGTGGAAGTTCTGAAACCGATAATAAGGGTAAAAGAAATTTGGATCCGATGATATTTCCTGGACTCCACCCTTCTATGTCGATGAATGATTTTATGAACCACATCGAGCAGTGCCTTTCAGAACAAATAACCTCCGGAAATCCAACCTTGTCCATTGGAAGACCAGAGTACAAGGATATCCTCGAGGACATCACGCAGCATCTGCTCAACGACAATCAAGTTACAGCAGCCTCAGACGAGAAATCGCTTATGTCAAGGGTCAATTCTCTCTGCTGCCTTCTGCAGAAGGACCATTCAGCTGTGCAGAACTCAAATATAACCGAGGTATCCACTGCTCAGGGCTCTGAAGGTGGATCGAAGGTTCAACTTAGCCACGCTTCCGTATCACCACAGGACAACAAAAGTACAACAAATGTCAAGGTTTCTGAGGAGGACACAAAGGATGTTTCTGATGGTAAACAAGTATCCAGTATGTCCAGGAAAGATTCGTTCGGAGATTTGCTTCTCCATCTCCCTCGAATCGCATCTCTTCCAACGTTCTTGTTCAACATATCGGAAGAGGATAGTCACAGTCAAGCCAGATAGTTAGTCTCATGCTTGACCATTGTCACTTCTCTAAATGGGCAAGAATGGATGGCTAAAAGCAGGCTCGATCATTGTGAAAATATGTTACGCCTCAGAATCCATGTGTAAGATTAATTTCTGCTTTGGGAGACCATAAGGATTTTGAAAATTTGTTTTGATGAGAAATCCTAGTAGAGTCCCCCTTGTAAAATATGTGTAATATTGGTGTTTATGCTCCACCTTTGTATTTCTTGTCATCTAAAATTAAATCTCAGTTGTGCAGTTGTTTTTATCTGGATTACATCAGTAGATTATAAAATCTACATTGATTGCAAGCACAGTGCTATAATTTATTTTTAAAATTTTGTGCTGCTGCTACTAGAAATTCTAATTTCATACGTATTTGATTTCATGATTGAAGTTTAAAGTTTGTAACGAGAAATGATCTGCCCCTTCATCTTCCTAGTTCTTGCGTTCATATGCCCGTAGATCCTTTGGAAGAAGGGAAAATTTCATTTAAGGATTGCTGTAGCCAATTAATATCAGTTAACTTCTAAAATATTCCAAAACATCAGTCAACCTCCTTTGGATCAAAATGAAATTAAAATTAAGAGTAAAATTACAATAATACCTCTCATTTTTATTTTTTTATAAAATATTAATTGTCATCAGAATTCTAGTTACTAGAGGTTGGAGTTCCAGTGGCCGTCAATGGTTAAGGGAAGGTTTGAACCCATGAACCATTAGTACATTAAAAATAATATGACTACCAAAGCCAACCAAACCATTTAATTATATGATGTAAAGAAAAATATATATAACAAAGCAAAGGGTTAATTAATCCGCAAGTCTTATAGTTTCAATGAATTTTGAATCAGGTTCTTATAGTTTTTTTTCTTTTTATCAGGTCCTTATACTTTTATCTTTTTTTAATTAGGTCCTTGTATTTATTTTTCTTTTAATTAAGTCCTTATAATTTTACTAAATTTTTAATCAGGTCCATGTAGTTTTAATTTTTATTTATTAATTAAATATAAGCTTAATTAAATAGATTAATACTGAAATATAAAATATTAATAATTAAATTAAATTAATAATTATGTAATAAAAAAATAATAGAATTAATTAATTCAGGAAACTTTTTTAGAACAATTAATTTTTTTACTGAAAAAATTAAAATCATTATAATAATTCAATATCTTTAGAATATTATTGTTTATAAACTAATATTAAATAATATATACTATTTTATGTTTATATAATAATACTATTAGAATTTATAAAATAAAGAATAAAAAAATTCAGGGACTTAATTGAAAATAAGGTGAACTTATAAGGACTTGATAAAAAGAAAAATAAATACAAAGACCTAATTAAAAACAGGTAAAAGTATAAGGACCTGATAAAAAGAAAAAAAACTATAAGGGCCTGATTCAAAATTAGTTAAAACTACAAGGAGCTGTGGATTAATTATCCCCAAAGCAAATGCAAGTGTCTAAGTATAAGTGACTAAATAAAATTCGACAATTTACAAGTAAAATTTAACGATTTACAACAAAAATTTGATGATTTACAAGTAACATAATAGAATTTACAACCCCAAATACAAGTGTTTAAGTGTGAAAGAACAAATGAAATTTGAAAATTTATAACAAAAGTTTATGGATTTACAATCCAAATTCGACGATTAATAAAAAACATAAAGAATTCATAACCCAAAAATATTTGCAACCTGTACATGCTTCGGAAGAAAGTTGTAAGCTGGGGCTTTGTTTGGTATAAGTTAACGTCACATGAATTTTGGTGTCTAAAAATATAGTCTAACTTCTGATAACATCATTCTCACAGGCACTTTTAAAAAATATTTTTATATAAATCGAGAGAATTCTTATTATATATTTACTTTATATATAGTAAAATCATTTTTAAAGTTATAGTTTGGTTTCCACTTAAATACCTTCTAAGAAGAACTTTAAATTTGACCATGTTTTATAAAAAGAAAAATTTAATAATGTGACTTCATTTAAAAAAATTTACTTCTCTAATTTATAAACAGAACCCCAAGGGTATATATTATATAAAAAATGAAAAAAAAATTGAGAACTACTACTTTCGGTCCTTAATATAAGAGGATGTTTGACTTTTATTTTGGTTTTAAATATAAGATCTTAATTTACTTTGCCTATTATATTTACATTTACTCATTTTTTTCCTTAAGGGGGTCCTTGCAATAATGGCAAAATTAGCCAATACACTTGATTAGTAAAAATATTTTAGAAAGACAACACATATTTATTAAAAATAACTCATTTAATTAAGGACCGGAGATAGCATTTACTTACCAACATAATTTCGCAGCAAGCACAAATTGTAAAAGCAATTCATCGATAAAAAAAAAATAAACATTCATTTTTTCCCGATAGTAAATGTAAAGACAAATTGTTTGGCGTCAACAGCCCCGATGCTTCGTTTTACTTCCTGTGCTTCCACTTTATTGTTTTGTTTTGTTTTTGCCTGAATAATGTACGTTTCTCCATACGCATACAAACAACCGACCGACAATATTGGGACCAAAATTAAAATGAAAACTAAGGAAACAAGCTGAGGCAAAAGATGCAGGGACCATCACTGAGGTCCTGATCCCCAAACTGACATCGCTGCAAGCATGAACTGTGAAAGACATGACCACATGGGAAAACTGACACTTCCGGATACATACAAGAATCCTCTCCTTCTTCTTCTTCAAATGGTGAAACTCCAACGTCTTTCTCACAAAACTCACACGTCCAACCCATTACTCTTCTCTGGTTATCTGAGGAAAAAAAAATCACAAAAGTAAAACAACCATTTCATAAACTATAACACTTTGGTGCAAAAGACGTCCTCATATGTATACATATTTAAAGGCCGCCTAGCGCACATGGCTCCCACCAGATAGAGTATGGGGAGATGAGGGAGAGATATACGTAGCCGTATCCCTTCCTTATAAAAGTAGAGAGGCTGTTCTCGGGATTTGAAAAAACGACCACCATGTTAATAGTGATAACATGCAATATTCTTCAGTGAGGTACGTTGCATTGTCACGTATTAATTAGTATTGCTGATACAGATGTATATCCAGATATATCTCAGGTGCTATTGATATATATATATATGTATGTATAGCTAGTTATATGCCATTAAGCCTTATATATACATATATAAGTTCACAAAACATAACTAGTAAGTACACATCTGATACTATACTGTAAAATTTTTCACATGGAAGAAATATATACAGTTAAATTAAGAACCAAAATTTAGGGTGTACCTTCGGATCTAATATGGCGAGTGTGAAGTTCCACTACAGGTAGGTCATCGGGATCTTCTAATAATGGTCTGTGTTTAGAAGATTCTCCTGAAAGTCTAACACTTCTCATTTTCTCTCGCCCAACTTGATGAGAAGAAGAAGATGAAGCATTATTACTGACTTCTTCGCTCCTAGGTTGATGAGCAGATCTTTTACTTGCAGTAATTTGTTTCTCTCTGTGCTCATAGCAACTCTTTGAAGGTGATTTTGTTTCGGTGCTTTGCCTTGAACTATGCGTTTCGTGAGGGAACACAGATCTGTTGTGCCTTGTTCGACTGGACGATGAACTGTGGACTTCAGTACGACTGTTCGTTACTTTAGAGCCACTGTTCTGATGCGTTAAATGTTGAGTTTGATCATCTGCAGAAAGCAAGAAAATTAAAACAAGTGAGTTTTAGATTAGTTTAAAGACGCACTAATATATTGGAATGCACTGAAATTAATATACTGAATGTAAGATCCTTCATGAAAATAAACTTTCTATTCTGGAGACTGAATTGTTTTGGAAGCTTAACGCTTGAAAGTTATCTATTGATTATATTTAATTTGTTGACATTATATGTAAAGTCACGTGTGACAATGATGTGTATACTAACAAGTTATTGGTTGAAATGGTAAACAGTCTTATTTCCATAAAGATAAGAACACAAGTTTAAATCCTGAAAAGAACATTTTAACCGAAAGAGATTAGACTCGAATTCAAAGTGATTTGAGAATATTTTGAGTTATATCGGGAAAAAAAAGAAGAGACTATATATATATAATTGAATCTACCTGTTTGATTGTTTGAAGCAGTTAGGCCATTGCGCTGATCAGTTTGCGAAGGCTCAACTGCTTTATCTTGGCTTCTGAGTCTAGTAGCAATTGGTGCATCATCATCAGCGTCCTCCTTTCTGCGACCAAACAGGGCACATTTCCCCAACCATTTTAGGTCTCTCATTTGTCTATCTGTAGAAGAAAGAGTGAAGGAGGAGAACACAGAAGAAAAAAAATGAATTGACTACTGATAGCTACCCCATATTTTTATAAGTCATGGGTAATCCTATCCTAATGCTACTTAAATACTCTATCTAATATCTAGTTCAAATCTTATTTAAATCTATTCAAAATCCAAATAAATCCTGATAATTAACGTGTCTAACAAAATATTATCTAAATCAATAATTACACATCAGTCACTGATTAAAAATACTTCTCCATAGTACGCGACCACAGATTAATAAGACTTTAAGAGTAAATTAAAATGATTTTTTTAGATTTTATTGAAAATGATGAGGATATTTTATCATTTATTCTTTTAAAATATATTTCATTTTAATCTTAAATTTTCATCGAAGATGTCATCGCTAATCTAGACGGGCGATTATATATTTATTCAAATTAAAAAAATGAAAATAATGGATTATTACTTTCAAATATGTAACATAAAAAGGAAAGTTGATAATTTAGAGCCAGAGGTAACTGTAATTTTACTCGAAAGATATCTATATCATGATATTTAGATTTTGTTTTATCAATATAATGAATTGATAATCATTGAAGCAATTTTAAGGTACGATGACAATTTATAGAGAATCAGAATTTAAATTATAAGTTTTTAATCAAAACAAATAATTAATTCTTATAGTTAAAATTTTCTTAAAATTAATATACCATGAAGTTGTTTATTTTATTTCATCTGCTAAGTGTTTTTTTTTTGTTGGCAATAACATGTGGGCCCTAGTTTAAAGACTAAGCATCAGTATCACCAAATATAAAACTATTAATGCGAGACAAAATGTATTTTTAAAGTTTATTATTCATATTTCAATAACAAAACAGTTTATTTCTATGTTTTTGTGCGATACTCAGGGCCTGCTTGGCTGCTCCTAATCAACATTGATTAGTCAATTGACTCTAAATTACTCAGTTTCTCTATTGAAAATCAAGCTTAATATGTCCCGTTCTTATACAAATTGCTTGGGATTTAAATTTTGAAATTTATAAATGAAATAACTAAATTTTGTTAAGAAA